GACGCCTTCAGCCAAAATTGCCGGGTTTCTTCATTATAGACAAACATGTCATATTCTTTACTAAGAATTTGTTTAAATAAAATCGTAAAATACTCATTTTTCAATCCCCCATAATCTTCACCTACTTCGCCAACAAAAACAACTTTGAAGGGTTTTTTTAATACTTCAAAATCTCTACCCTGTATTGCATAAAAAAGTGAACCCACTGTATCATATAAAATATTTGATCTATTTACTCTAAGTAAATTCCTCTCAGAATGTTGTTCCCACATGGATTCTATGTGTAAACCTATATGTTCCCATCGTTTTTCAATATCCCATCCCACCAAAGTTAAAGGCCTATGATCACTAATTTCCAAATGCATCGAGGAAATCGAATCGCTTTCAAAAACGTGAAGAGGTATTTTTGGTGTAATACATTGGTTGAATCTAAAATTAAGACTGCATTCGAGATCGGTTACTATTTGCTTATCAAATATTTGGCTTGAGTCGCGTTCGCCACCATATAGATTTGCCACATAGAGTATTCGAATTGAATCTAAAATGGATATCTTTTCTTTAAGACTGATGTACAGCGAATCGTCCTTTATTTCTAGCAACTCTATAAACTTCTCTACTATTGCACTAAAACAGGTCGAATGGTATTGCGAAATAATTTTAATCAAATATTTTAAAACTATTATATTTGATATTGATATAAATTGAGAAACTCTTACGAGCAACTTAAAAGAACTACGAAAAAATGGATTATCCTTGTTGAAAAGTGGAAATTCAAGAATTGCAATAATAATGTTCAAGAGCAATTTTTCGGAAATGAATTTGTCGGTTTCCATATTATCAAGTATCCGATTGAGTTTAAATATATATTTAAATGTGAATCTATCGTCTTGGTTAAAGCTCCAACTTACATAAAATTTTCGGAAAAGAAAAACGTCTATATATATCCATTTCGCTTCCTCCTCTTTGACGTTTCTATAATATGCGAACATTGTGTCCAAAGCTTCCAAAATTGGTTGAAGGTTTGCCTGTTCCAGGCCCAGGTTGCTCCATTTCCCCATCAGATTCCGCAGTGGCCTGAGGGGCGCTGATTACATCAGCAGGTCCAGATGGCAATTATCTTACAGCCAAGGCCATTGTAGTGTCGAGGGGTGGGGAAGTCCCCATAAAAAATTCTAATATTTCTCTTCTTCGGAGGCGGTTAAAATTTCATGCCAGCAAAGCAAAAAAGAGAGAGAGAGAGAAGAGAGACGGTTAAACATACTTTATTGACTAGTCAATTATGAATGAAAAATAATGAGAATAATACAATGAAATTATGATTGAGGAAGGCTCCACCATCTTGCTAGAGTCCTCCTCCAGACGATGAGAGGGTCTTCTTGGACGCCCCGTATCTCCAGGCCCAGGAAGTGCTTGTAGATACGGGTCTTGGCAGATGCCAGGATGGCCAGGACGTCGTCCTCCAGGTCATGCCCGAAGATTCATCCCTGCAGGTCAGGGGGAGCTAGATGATAGTGAAGGCCTCCAGGATGACAGGCCTGATCCGCCTACAGGACCAGTAGCGGTGGGCCAGTGACGGGTCTTATAAATAGATAAAATAGATGAAAAATATACATATATATATAAATATATATACAAGGTCTTCATTGGTGGCGCCCACCGCGAGAAAGACTCCGCCACTGATGGACTGCGAGAGTTCTTTCCCACAGAGTGGGCAGGTCGATGTGTTGGCTGGCATTACCCAACTCAAGACCAAGATGGTACTTGTAGATGGTAGCCTTCGCCACACTTGTTAGCTTCATTGCCTCGGGATGGAGGCCAATGCCGAAGAGCCAGGCCTGCAAATCCAGGGGCATTTCACAGGAGGCGAACACCTCCCGGAGCCCTTGCCCCGGCGGCTTCGTCAGACACTCGCGCGATATTCCAGGAAGATGACCGTCCTGGAACGGCGTAGGTCTGACATTGGGGCACCAGGTCTGGCAGATGACGTCGCAGACGAGCCATGAGCATGCCGCTGAGGACCCTGTAGTCGGTCGTTAGCAGGCTGATTGGCCAGAATGCCTGTAGACCCGGACCACCGTGCACTTTCGGCAGCAAGATCACCTTGCTGCGCCTTGAGGATGGAGGTAAGGCCCCGCGGAGTCGAGAAGCCTCGAAGACTTGCCAAAGAACTTCGGCGAAGAAATCTTCAAAGGCTTTGACAAACTCGCAGGGGAGTCCGTCCCATCCCGAGGCACGGCCATTTGGCAGGCGATGGATGGCTGCCGCTATCTGTTCGCGGGAGATGTCGGCGAGAAAGAGCTGGTCCCACTCATCGAACTCCAGTGGAGTCACTTTAGCTAGGAAGTCGGCGATGGCTTCTTCCGAGCTTGGAGCCTGAGCGAAGCGACTGCTTAAGCGGTCCAGAAGGAAACGCCTAAGCTGGCCCCCGGAGATGGCGTTGTCGTCGGTGAAGGTGGAGGGAGAGCGGCGTCTGGCTCGGAGGGAACGACCGAGGTCCGACAAGGAAGGATAGTCGGAGCGGGCAGTGTCGTCCTCCAGTCTCCGCCTCAGGAAGAGGCTTGCTCTCTCGATGTATCCACCGCCGGACTCGGCGACGGCAGGCGCAGTGGAGTGCAGTCGTGGATGGAAATGAATGATAACTTTTTTCCAAAAACTATATCTATTTTTTTGATTATATTTCAAAAGCAAACAGTTTGCATACATAAAATTTAATAATGTTATTATCTATATATAAACAAAAAAAAACTATTTGGTTGTATTCCTTTTGTAAGATGACTCCTCCATTTCCTTATGTCGATCAATCATTTCTAATTTAGATACTAACACTATCCATTCTTCTGGAGTGTCCACTTTTGATGTAATAACTAGTTTTCTAAAATCAGTTGTTAACCCATTTGTCAGGCCTTCAATTAAATTTTATTTTGTAATCTTTGCTTTAGAAGCTAGGGACGTTTTTTCCTTAAAATAATTTTCAATCCCTTTTTCTGGATCATATTTCAATTCAATAAAAGCCGTGAATGGATTAACTTCTTGTTTATAGAAATGCGACAATAATATTTTTTCTAGTTCAGGCCAACTTGTAATATCCAAGCAAGTCTCCACATAAAAATCAAAAGCCTCTTCTACTAAAAAATCTCTTTTTCAATTTCCAGGCATCATTTAATTCTTCTAAGAAAGCCTTCTGGTTGAAATATTTGAGCCACGATTTTAGGGCTAGACTTCCTTTAGGGTTAAATTTACATACGTTTAGTTTAGTGTTATCTGACATATTTCTTTCTATTTGTAATATGTTATTTTTACTTCTGTCTTTTAACTTTGGCATTTATATTTAATATATAAAGAAATTTTTAAATTTTCAAGTTGTAATTTTGAATTTTATAGTTAAAAATTTGCATCTTTAAAGCAATTCTATTTTCGTCTTAAAGAGAGAGAGAGAGCACACAACACACACACACAGAATGATGCTTTTTGTTGAAGACTCTACAAGTGGTAGTTATTTTACATTGATTAGCATAATGATTTAAACTTAAGAAGTTTATACAAAGCCTTTTACTTTTCACAAATTTTATCCTATCATCTAAGGATAACTTGGCAAATTCTTGGCAGGTTATGAGATGAATCACAATATGTAAATTTGACTATTTTGGTATTAACTTGATAAGCTTTAAAGATCTTCCTAACATCTTCTTTATGATAGGTTTTTGAATTAATGTGAGCCAATACCTTTTGATGTGTTAGCTTCCTCTGGTCATCGGTTCTTGGTAAAATAAAAGTCTCACTTATATTGTGGGTGATAAAAATGATACAGTAAAACCCCGCTAAGACGAACCATGGCTATAACGAACCTTCCCTTATAACGAACCCATCGAAAATCCGCATTCCATTCCATTAAAATTACCATCGCTATAACGAACTTTTCACTTTTCAAACTAGCGAACTATCGCTATAACGAACCCAATTTTGGTCCCAAAATATTAAATTCTATCAAAAATACCATGCTTATAACGAACTTTTAATTTTAATTCTAAAATTCCAAAATTATAATTTTCAAAACTAATTAAAATTTTGTGTGAGCTCTAGCTCACAGATCGCAATTCAAAACAAAGAATTTAGCGACATTGTTTGTTTATATTCACGTTCTATTTTTATACTGCGCACTTTTATAAATTTTTCATGCCTTATTGAAAACTAAATTTCTTAACTCTACATTAGGAAAATTCCTTAAAACATGATTAAATTATTAAAACAAGTTTTAAAAGATAATGGAAGTGCCAAAGAAAAAGTCGCTCGTACCAAGATATCACTTGAAAAGAAATTAACCATCATAAAAGCTATTGAGAGTGGTACATCGCAAGCGGAACTTCGGAAGAAAATGAAAATGAGCAAAAGTTGCATTTCTACGATATGGCAAAAAAGAAGACTATAAAAAAAAAATGCTACAAAGAGGAATCAATCCCAACTATTGCCGCTATCGTCAGTGTCATTATGAGGAATATGTTAAAGCAGAAAAAAATAACAGACTTCTTCAAGTAAGCCTTTGTATCCTATATTGTTATATAATAATATTTAAATAAAATATATTTTTATACCTTTTAAAATATTATTAATAAAGTTTTTATTTAATTTTTATAAATAAGGTATTCTTTTCTTGGATTTTTTTGACATATGGGGGGGCAGGTTGCATTTATACTAATTAAATTATCAGAGGAACTGATCAAAAAGGCAATATTTTCACATGATTTTGTTTTTATTTTAATATACAGCTTTAATATATAGAAATAGGTTAATTTAGGGGGAAAAAAAGCAGCCAATATTAAGAGGTAGTCTCTTTTTTTTTTTTTTTTGCGCATGCCCTTTAATTATATCCTCAAAAAAAATTTAAATACCCAAACCGTGGCTATAGTGAACCGTGGCTATAGTGAACCAAAAGTCCCGTCCCAATGGGGTTCACTATAGAGGGGTTTTACTGTATATTCAAAAATACAATTAAATTAAAAATATACTAAAGAAGAATAGAACATGCAGCATAACCAGCACGTACACTTTAGTCTCGTCGGCTCACCACCTTCCGCCATGCCGGGTTGTTGCGGGCCCTCTGCTAGGAATGGCTCTTACACTCAGCCACTTCCTGGATGTTGTTATGTTCGCAATAAACAAATATTCGAACATTTCGTTAAGATTAAATCAAAGGATGTCTATTTATCGAACCGTAATACAAATATGGCCTTCTTTCGCGCACGCCACCTGATTGGTTGACACGCCGCAACCTGTTAGGTGAGGTGGGGCTTCTGCCACCAAGTTGCTTACCGATGTCTGCAGCTGTTCTATCACAGATGTCAATGGTCCTTGACAATTGATGCGGAAGTCGTCGGACGTGACTCTGCTAACTCCGGTAGGCTTTGTTTATAAAACTTCTTCCTTACCTGTTATAGGACTAACATATCATATATAAATAGCTTAAATCGAAAATAATATTGACTTTTGATCGGTAATTGCTCAACTACCTGACTTCTGACTGTCTAACTATGCTAACTTAGCTTCAATCCAAGGAATTATTGAGCGCTTATTCTCAACCCTTGAATGTCACTAAAAACAAAACAATCCGCCGCTTTGTTTGCAACTATAGCCACTAAGGTCATATTCCTACACTCTCCGACCTCGGCAGTACTCATACATCTAATCTTTCTCTGGAGTTGTTGTGGGGCTCTGGAGTAAACAAACTCGATGTCTCCCAGATATACTTCTACATCTATCAAGCTGCTTGAACAACCAAGCCTACTGTTCCAAAGTTTGCACTGTACTAAACTGTTGTTTATAAACTGCAAAGTTACCTAATAGTACTCTAGAGGGCCTGGTTCTCCTGTCGCTACTTCAAATAAATAAATAAATAAATCAATTATAAAACAAAACTTTCACCCTAAACTTGGTTGACTTCCTGTGTCTATGAGTGCTTGGAGTTCGTGGTTATTAATTTTTATGTCCTTGTACATCCATCCTTTCTGTTGTTTCAAACAAATAACTTTGTTTTTCATGTGGCTTTGTTTGTACTTGTTTCACAAGAATGTTGGCATTACTTCTAGTTGGACACTGATTTGCTATGTGGCCAAAAGAATTACAATTGAAACATTTTCCCCCCAAATCTTTAAATCTACCCTCACATGAAAGATGACCTCTTTTACCACAGTTGAAGCACTTTGATTCATTATCATCAATTGGCTTTGTAATCACTTTGCTTATTGGGCTATTTGTCTTAGATTTAGATTTCATTACTTCCTAATTTTTCAATTCAATCTTAAAGTCTGAATAAGATGTAGAGCCATATAATATGGACTTGTCGAATTCTTGGTCGGGAATTCCATCAATCACATGTTGAATTATGATGCTTCCTCAAGATTGACTTGACATCCAAGTTCTCTCACATTTAAAAAATATTCATAGTAGATTTCGTATTGTTGCTTTTTTCTTTTAGTTAAAAGAATATGAATATTCCTACTATCAATTGGGTTGTCGAATTTATGGCCTCTAAGGTCTGGCCAAATTGAGAAGATTGGTTGTGACCCCAACCATAATTTGGCTACTCCAGTCATATGCTTGTCTCAAAGATTAAGCCATGCATGTCTAAGTACACGCCATAGCAAGGCGAAACCACGAATGACTCATTAAATCAGTTATGGTTCCTTAGATCGTACACATTTACTTGGATAACTGTGGTAATTCTAGAGCTAATCCATGCAATTGAGTCTAGGTAAAAATTGAAATTAAAATGATCAAAGTGAAAATAAACACAAAATTTATGGGTAATCAAGTTGTGAGCATGAGGAGAAAGTTATGTAGGTTTTTAAAAACTCACAGTTTTGATGAAAGTTCAGTCAGGAGACTTGGTGTTTGTTTGTCGTCCTGCTGACGTGGAAGGTTCTCCATGTAGGGCTTGTAGAAGCTTGTACCTTCTGTAAAGTTGATTGCGGCATGTCGTTTTGAGCATTGTCTCGATGTCAGCCCGAAGGTGGGGAACTTCCCAACGGGTTTGTGTCACTCCGATCCTCGGTTTCTATGTCTTACAGGATTTTCAGCTGTGTCGTTAGGAGGGTTGACAGCTTGCTCCTGCCGTTGGCGATCTGTGTTAGCGGGTCTGCGGAGGTAACTTGGGGCGGCGTTTCCTCCTCAAATTTTGTCTTTTGTTGGGGGAGAGATTGCTCGGTTGTATCGTTGGAATGGCGGGCTTGTTCCGCTATCTCTGCTCTTTCTTGCTTCTATCTGGACAGGCTTCTTACCTTCTTCGTTGTGGTCATCCTGTCAACTTAAGCTATGGTGTGATATCCTGAGGGTCTCTCGCTGTGGTGTGAAATCCGAGAGAATCTCTCGCTTTACTGTGTTAACCGAGAGGAACAGTCAGGATGTGGAGAGTTTTCCAGTACCCCTCTGCACCTTGGAAGACCTTTAACAGTTATCACAGTGCACAGGCAGTCATTGTCGAGGCAGAGCGGAAGACACAAAAAACGAAGGGACTCAGTTGTACTAGGAAAGTTCCATGAACAGATAAGAGTCAAGCTAGGATCAAGATGGAGATTTGATAAAAGTTCTTACTGGCCTACATGGTCGATGGTAAATATCTCGCTTACCCTCAATTGTGTATGTAGACAATTTCACGTCACCTTGTGCTTCAGCTTTTATGAACCTTTCTTCTTCTGCAAGGTTAATTTCATTGTCAATAGGAATCTTGTTGATAAGCCAATCTTCTCTAGGAGACATGTGTGAAGTGCATCCTGAATCAAGGTTCCAAATGTGTGCATCCTCCTCAGGTAGATGTGAAGAAGAGTAGATCATTTCCGCTGAAGTAAACGCATGTTCAGTGTTAGCAGAACCATTCGCTACATTAGCATGTTCCCTTGAGTTATTTTTCCAAGATGATGAAGACTTAGTTTGCATATTATTTTGTGGATATTTGCATTTTGGTTTATTGAAGTTCGCTTTATCTTGACGATGCCAACAGTTTCTTGACATGTGCCCAAATTTTCCGCATGTATGACATTTCCCTTCAAATTTGCATGTTCTTTGTATCCCTCGGTCATTTCGAGCTTTAAAAGCTTTTTCAAGGAGGATGAGAATCCGAGTTGATGGATCCTTCTAGTGTAGGATTCTTTAAGGGTGGAAAGGATATTTTCAAGGTTTAACATAACGAATGCACCAAGGTTGCTCTGTCTGCATCATGCAGTTGTTAGCCGCCCAATCAAAAGCCTGGTATAAGGATGCCGAGTCAGAACCAACTGTGTAGGCAGAAGAGGATGGAGGTGGTGACAACACAAAGTCATGTGGCGACAGGTTAAGGTCGGGTTTGGGGCTGGAATCAGGTATGGAAGAGGAAGGGTGTAGAGGGGTGGAGGAACTCACTCCAGGCCGGTTGCTGAGGTCGAGGTTCCCGCCGATAGTTGGGTCCAGCAGGGAGTTGAACATGCTGTGAAGGTCCTCCCTGCAGGAGGAGTCGGTGTCGGGAGAGGAGGAGTCTTGGGAGGAAGGAGGAGTGCCCCCTGGTGAGGAGGGGGTGGCGGGGGTGTCGACCCCGTGGGAGTGCTGCGTCTTCTACTGCAGCATGGAGTTTTCCTGATTATTATGCTTGTTTACCCATTTACATGGAGGCTTGCATTTCTCTGGAATGCAATGTACTCCAAAGTGAACATGACCTTTAGCCCTGAGGAGGATTCAGTGGGGCATTGTGAGGGTTGTTGCGAGTGTTGTGTCGGTATGTGTGTGAAAATGTTGTTTGTGTGGTTGGATTCCATGAGGCGTTGTTGGTATGTGTGGGTGAGGTGGATGAATGTTCTGTCAAGGGTGGATTTAAACTGGGTGGCACAGGATGGGGTAAGGTTTCCAGCAAATGGTAGGCCTAAGAAAGGGGGAGGAAGTGTGAAGGGTTGTTGGTGGGGAAAAGGTTGCTAGAAGTTGGAGTGCTAGAATAGCTTCATTGTGGGGGATTGAAGTGTAGAGTGATTCAACTTCGAAAGATACCATACGGCTATTATTAGAAATTGAAAAGTTTCTGATCGTTTTTGCAGCAACTGTAACAGATGTGGGAAACTTTATTGACATATGTTCCTATTATCGTAGGTTAATCGAAATTTTCACTGAAAAAGCTTCTTTATACAAATTCCTCGATGGTATTTATGTAAGAGAACGTAGGGATGGTTGACAAGGTTTCCTTTGTTAATTTTCGCAAGGCAAAATACCTAAAGAACATATAGAGAGTGTATACACAAATATTTTCAACAAGAATACTTTATTTCAAAATCCTAGCAAACATTTATCTGTGGGAGAGGACGTTGTGAGAAGTGACTTGGTGCCTCCTGAGATTCCGTTTCTGGAGAAAGTTCTTGCCACATTGAAAGCAGGTGAACATACTTCGAACTTCCTCGTGGGTCTCCATATGATTGCGAAACTTGTACTTGTCTGCCAGTACTTTCCCGCAGTGAGGGCAGCGGCGGTACTGCGTCGCTGGTACACATCAAGTACACGCATATGTTAGCCGTAGTTTACATATGTGATAATATACTCGGTATTTCTGGTGCATGCAGATGTGTACTCTAGTGTGGGGAAGTAATTTCTGGAGGGGAGAGATGATGGATGAAATAAATTTAGTGAGGGGGTAAAGAGGAGAACCAGCCTAGGAAACAATCGGACGTAAAGGTGTGTTTGGCTTATGTACTTTTGGGAGGCTATAAAAGTTTTGTAAATTCTTTTCCTCAGCCTTTAAATTTTCAAAAGTTTTTTTGTCTAATTTATGTGAACGTATGATTTTATTAAGTTTTTTATTAAAATCATTAGTAAAATTAGGTGAAGGGTTTTTTGTTAAAGGTTCATAAATTTCCTTATCTTGAAGTAACTCTTCTGCCTTAGTGTTGTAATCAGTTGTGTTCATAATTACTGTATTTCTTCCTTTATCAGAGGGTGTGATAACATTGTCTTTATTTTGCTTTAACGATCTAATGGCTTGTCTTTCTCCTTGATTTAAAATTAGTCTTGTTTTTTTCATTCTAAATTTTTAATAATAGGAGTAACTTCTGTTCTAATTTTAGCTTTATTATTATCTTGTAATTGTTTTATTGAAATTTCTATAGCAGCTCGAGTTTTAGGAATATCAATTTTTTTTGGAAGGTATGAAGTTTAAGCCCTTTGATAGAAGTGTCGTAATTTCGGGTGTAATTGATTGATTAGAAAGATTAATAACAGTATTTTGGTGAGATTGGGGTTGTGTTTTTTGTTACCAAGTGTTTAATTTTTTTTCTTCTTCTTCTTCTTTCTTATCTTCACTTAATCATATCAAGGTATCAAGCTTGTAAAGCATGACAACCATCATGATTGGGTGAAGTAGAATGCGTCTGCCTTTGTCATCAAGACTGGGAGCACTACTCAGTGGAAGGCCGACTTAGCTCCAAAAGAAATGGCCGCCTCTGACATGAGGAACAGACGCCATGTGCAGCTGCTCCTAACATGGAGTACAAACGCTGTTCATCCTGTATCCCTGGATTAGGAGCCCTTACAGGGTACTATCAGCCGGGCCAGCTGAGCCCAGGTTTTTTTAGCGAGCTTGTTACTGCTCCCCTTCCTCCTTTTTCATCCGGGCTTGGGACCGGCAAAGGCGGAGTTATTTTTTTATTATTATTATTTTTTTAATTGAATGTTGCGAATAGCAGTGGCTTTATTTTGACATTTGATATCTAAGCACTTATAAAATTTTTCAAATACTTCATCATTTAAAATTCCTTTTAGTTTAGGAATTATAATGACAATTTTTTATTCTAGCATTTAAAAGTTTCTTACCCGTTTCAAATAATGTTTTTCTAGAATAATTTGTGCGGACAGATTCTTTTAAAATTAAAGAAGGTGGAATTATGCTTGCGGCGAGACACTGGTGATTAAAATGTAAGTGTAATTTCCAATTGTTAATAGAAAGTCTAAGCCTTTCCATTGTTCTGGCTAGGCGAAGCGCGTCGGTATGTGTGTGAAAATGTTGTTTGTGTGGTTGGATTCCATGAGGCGTTGTTGGTGTGTTTGGGTGAGGTGGATGAATGTTCTGTCAAGGGTGGATTTAAACTGGGTGGCACAGGATGGGGTAAGGTTTCCAGCAAATGGTAGGCCCAAGAAAGGGGGAGGAAGTGCGAAGGGTTGTTGGTGGGGAAAAGGTTGCACGTAGGTGGAGGGGAGTCAATTTGATAGCTAAGTGTATGAGGGTGATGTGGTATGTAGGTAGCATGGGTAGATGTGGTGGTTAAAGGGTGAAGAGGGGTAGAGGAACTCGCCCAGGTTGACTGTTGAGCGGGCCGAGGCTTCCGCCAATTGTGAGGTTGAGCAGTGAGTCGAAGATGCTGGGGCGAAATTCTCTGCTGGAGGAGTCGGTGTCAGGAGAGGAGGAGGAGTGCGAGGAGTCCTCCAGGGAAGGAGAGGCGTCAGGGGGGGTTGAGAGAGTCTGGTTGAACTGTAGAGAAATCTATCTGCTCTTGATTTTTCCTCTGTCAAGCGCGTATTTGCATAAACAATATATTCCTCCATAAAATGTTTACTTAAATAAGTTTCACTCTCTTGTCTATAAAAACGTTCAGTTTCCTTTAAAAAGGTGGCTTCAAATTCATTTTTATAATTCTGAAAAATTTTCAAAAAAGTTGAATCCCTCTGGTTTCCTTCAAGAACACAATACATTTCTAAAGCATCTTTTAACAATTCGCTCTCAATGTCTTCTCTATTTCTTTCCTTTTCAATGAGCATTAGAAGAGTCTGATTAATATCGTTTCTGAAAATTCGATCAAAGTGTTCTTCCCAAATGTATAAACACAATAAAAATATAGGATAATAATTGTTGCAGCCTTTAGCAATTTCGGAATTGTGCAATTGTGGTCTCCAGGGGAGGTAGCACTGGTGGGGGTAGACCCGCAACTGACAGAGCATCGAGGAGCAGGCGCGCTGGCTGGCGCACTGTAGTGGGCGGGCGCACCATTGGACGCGCTTAGACGCGTGGCAGCACCGCCGCTCGGGGAGGGATGCTGGGGACCCAGCGCGGAGGGGGGGATGAAGCGTGTTAGGTGATGTGGAGGTGTCGAGTGGCAGCGTGCGGCCGCTCAGGAGAACCCGCGCTATGATTGGCTGCGGGCGCAATATATTCCGGGGAGAAGAACGGCAGTTGGCGGTCGCTCGAGAGATCTGGGGAATCAAATTAATTATTCTGCGACCAGTTTTGTTCAGCGCTGGTTTCCCAGTGGAAGCAGGGCAGGGTATCCAGGGGTGTATCCAATGGTGTATCCTCTGTCACAGTAGCACTGAAGCGCTGAGGAACTGAAGCAGTGAGGATTTAACAGTGACTATCAATTTATGTTAAAAGGTTTCCTATTTTAGCAACCTTGATTCCCAAGACACCACAATAATGTGGATGCCCTTACTTCAAGCAGTATCCCTAAGCCTTACCACGGGTGGTGGGGGGTCAATAGGGACTGACGAGAAGTGCTCCTAAATCGAGAGAAGCTTTTGGCTTCAGTAGTTTCCAGAATCTTTACCATTGGTAGGGGGACAAAATGGACTAGCTGAAGTCATCGACGGACAAACTGTCAACTGAGACACTTCCTCTACTGATAAGATCGCCTAATCCATGGATGTTGGGTGTGGTAAATCTATCTTATTGGCAGACCGTGAGTTTCTGTCTCTCCTCGTACATACTTCAGACACAACAGCTACTTTACACCACCAGTGGAATAACTTCATCCTACTGGTCTACTGTAGGTAACACACATTAGTCTCTGAATATGGAATTATAGGGCATGAATAACCCAACCATCAACTACCTCGCTTCTGACTGTCTAACTATGCTAACTTAGCTTCAATCCATGGAATTATTGCGTTCTTATAGTCAACCGTTGAATGTCACTAAGAACAAAACAATCCGCCGCCTTGTTTGCAACTATAGCCACTAAGGTCATATTCCTACACTCTCAGACCTCGGCAGTATGCATACATCTAATCTTTCTCTGGAGTTATTGTGGGGCTCTGGAGTAATAGGAAACTCGAAGTTATCCAGATATACTTCTACATCTATCAAGCTGCTTGAACAACCAAGCCTACTGTTCCCAAGTTTGCACTGTACTAAACTGTTGTTTATAAACTGCAAAGTTACCTGATGACTACTCTAGAGAGCCTGGTTCTCCAGTCGCTACTTAATCAAATTATAAAACAAAACTTTCACCCTAAACTTGGTAATTTGTAACAAATGGGTTAGATCTAATTGACTCTAAAAAAAGTTATACGAGATTAAATGTCTACACTGGCAGACTCTATCAAAGAAAATGTGATAATTTAACAGAAATTTCAATTCAAAATTTACTTAAAAAAAGAAGTTTAATATTTAAAAAAAAAACCTCTGTTTAATTTGATTTACCCATTTAATACATATGAAAAAAAAAAAGAAGTTATGAAATAACTATGTGTCCTATACACCTTCCTATATATGGTCTCTTTACACTTTCATCAGTGACAATGGCCATCGCTGTTATCACAAAGCCTATACCTGGTTGGCTTCCTTTCACATGCAGAGCGTCATACAGCTGACAACTCCTGATTGTTAACTATTTTCTGAACTGGTGCTGTTTTGGTACTGCAAGATGGTGCAGTTGGTCTACTCAAAGGATTGAAGAAATTCACAAATCCAGGAATTGTGTTACAGCAGTCCTCATCTTCTTCGCTTTCCTGTTCCTGTTTATTTCTTGTATTTAACGGGTGGGTCCTAATAGGCTCATAGTAGGGCTTTAGACGATCTACGCGGAACTTATCTTTCTTACCACGAAACTTGCTTTGGGCCTTTCTACCTTAATTATTTCGATACTAAGAGACTCTAGTAGTTTTAACTAATTGGAGGAAAGTATGCGCGCACAGTGCCAAAAATTGGGACGAGGACGGCGTTGTCCTTTACAATTTACAAGCTTCTCGTACACGAGGTGTTTGAACCGCCGTGGGAGCTTGTGCGAGGAGTTGATTTCGCGACGGGTTGAACGTAAAACCAATGTTTGCGTGAAATAATGACGGACCGGACAAAATCAGCCACGATGTTTAACGTACCTCCATGGGAAATATTGGACGTAGGTTATATCGTGCTGGTATGGACAAGGGACAAACATAAATTTGAAGACAGGGTCCGTGTGACGAATGTGTGGCGCGAGGAGAAGGAGCGAACTGTTGCGCTCGATGCAGATTGTTCAAGTGCGAACAAAAAGAAGTTGATAAACATCTAGTAGGTAGTCAATCTGCATCTTATGACGAACACACCAGTGGCTAGATGGTGTGGGTTGGTGGATATGCTAGAGAGCAACTACAAAATATATTATCATAGGGGAAGAGTGGAGATTAGTGGAAGTAGAGGTTCGATAATTGACAACTCATTAATTCTCAAGTGGGGCATGGGCTGGTAGAAGTTTGACAAAGTTGTAAGGATGAGTGGGACATTCAGGAAAAGATTAATAAGGGTCACCAAGGGTTGGTTGTAATCAAGGCTCATGTGGTGGTTGGAATTCTGCAACACCTTAGCTAAAAGAGTGAATTATGGGTCGGTTAGGGCAAGAATTTATTTTACGTGAGCCGTGCTTACAAGTAGGAGAGAAGGTCATATACAAATTGGTACAAATGGACAGGTACTGGAGTATTATTTTTATAGATAACTTGATTATGAAAAATAAATTTTTAATACTAAAAATCGTGAGGCATGAATAGGTAGAATTCCATTTTTTAAGAGGTGACTTAAAATAGAAATTATTTCATTAAAATGACAATTATTGAAATCTATTGGTAAGGTAACAAATTAAATGGGTTTCAAATAGATAAATGGTATGGATAATAATAAATCACTGTTAATAGGGGCGGAATAAATGGAACTAGTAAACAATTTTTTATATATTCAAACTGAACTAAACTAATTATGGAAATACTGGCATCAGAGTTTACAAAAAATGACTTCTTTGAAGAATGAATGGTAGAGGTAAAACAATTGCACTTACAGGTTATGTTGGTTTGAGGTGAAAGTAGATTAATTGAGTTCACTGAGGGAGGGTTCTGTCTGCAGATACTGTACATGCCAGTGTTGACCGCCACAGTAGCGACAGGCATATGGCAGAGTCTTGTCCATCATTGTGGAAGGTGTTGTGCTCTGACGCGATGATCGCTCTTGGGCAGATCTAGTGCTGGAAGAAGTGTTTGGCAGGTTCTTCTTCGTCGTAGGTGATCACATCTTTCAGATCACGGTTCAAGAGTTGGCCGAGGCAGAGGGTGAGAGCTCGAAGAGAAGTGGCTACAGTTGAGTTGGTTGTAAATTCTTGTGGAACTTGGCTGTGGGTTTGTCCGATCACCATGGCTTTGCTTTTTTTTCTTCATATTCTAGTATATATGGGAATTTGATTCCCAGCCAGGTCTTATCATGGTGTCAATATGTTTTTTAAAAGTGAGCGCAGGGTTGAGTGTGACACCAAGATATCTTGGGGAATCTGAATATTGGAGTTTTGAGTTATTTAAGGAAATATTTGGGGTCCAGTGGAGAAGGTGGTTGTTGATGGTGAAGAGTCCGATTTCAGATTTGCTGATGTCAATGTATTATTTCAGTTTTTGAGTTTTACACATTTTTAATGGCTTTATTCAGAGAGTGTTCTGCATTGGAGAGGTTGTTTTTGGAGACCCAGATGATTATATTGAAACGAGTTAAAACATCGGCTAGAAATTATGTAAATCTGTTGTGATTGTAAATAGCTAAAATTATGTAAATAATTATCTTTCTTAAAAAAAAAATATATATATATAGTTATGACTCGAGAGAGTCGTGTTAGTTTTTGTAAAACTTGAGGATCAGCAGCGTCTGGTTCTCATCGTTTGTTAACTTCCAAGTAAATTAAACAAAAGTTCATCCTAACCAACGGCTGGCCTGATTTCCAACACATACACTTGATTTGATGTTGTTGAAATTAACCTGTATGGTGCGTTCGGATAGAAAATTGCTGA